TCTCTCTCTCTCTCTCTCTCTCTCTCTCTCTCTCTCTCTCTCTCTCTCTCTCTCTTTTGCAGTGGGTCCCAGCCTTGATTCCCTCCATGTGCAATTGAGAGAGTGGTTTTCAGTCCCAGGAAACTTCCCGGATGTGCAATGGGAGGAGTGGCAGAAGCGGTACCCTCAGGGCATACTCACACGAGGACTTTCCAGAATCAGCTCTGGACGTGATTGCAGCCAGATGCATTCACATCTGGACGTAATTGCAGTCAGATGCATGCAGAAAAGTGCTAGTATGAGTATGCCCTCAATGGTTTGTTCTGGCACATCTGATGTGGCTGGTCTCGCTGTCCAGTCTGCCTTCCCGCGGCAGTCACAGACGCCTGTTTTTCTTTTCCTTTTTCCATTTCCTTCCTTTTTAAGAGGGCGACGGCCTTGAGATATCATCTTGAAGGTGACCGCTCCCCTGTACTTCAGGAAATTCAGTTCATCTAGTTCAGTCTGGATTCGAACTCAGGTACTTCAGTACTTGAGTTCATCTTGTTCAGCAGTTTATGGGTCTCGCTCCACTACTGTCCACAGCCCGATTTTGCACACTATAGCATCGCTCCAGTGGCTCCACTTGGGGCCTCGCCACACCACCGTCGAATCCGCAATTTTTCAACATTCGTCTGAGATCTTTCGAAAGTTTGCGATTTGACATTGTGCCCCCCGCTTTGGTCGCACAGCACGGTCGAAGCGTGCTGATGTCGAACTTCTAGTCCGGAGGCATGTACTTTGACAGCGCTGTGTGGCAACACGGCGGGCAGGCGTCCGTGAGGAGGGATTGGCGTTGTTCCTAATATACATTGGGCCTCGCGGCACTACTCTCCAAATGTGCAGAATGAGACGGAACTATAATTATGTAATACTTTTGAGTACTTCTGAGATTGTTGAACAACAGTGTCAATGTGGGATTTTCAGCTGGAATATATGGCGTCAGCCAGTTGGTTTTATTACTTTYTTTATAGCATCCACCGCTAGAACATGGAAGGAAAGGTACATGGCCATCTTTTTTGTCTTTCGCGCATGTGGAGAGTGACGCTGGACCTGTTCTCCAGCAGCTGATGCTCCCCACCAATAGATGATGGAGCCTCTCCTCAAGTGCTAGTGGTGTCTGCTCTCTTATCAGCACCACTAACACCGGTGGGAGTTCTTTTGAAAAAAAAAAAGAGAGTAGTGCAGCGAGGCCCATTGTCTGCGCGCGTTTGGGGCAGTTGCTGACAATACATTCCAATATGTCCTTGACGAGAAGCAGCAGCTATTGGTCGGCGACCGTCCAAACGCGTGCAGACAAAAAGCTGAACCAGGAGCCACGGCCGAACTGACAGCAGTCGAAATCTGATGGATTTTCGCCAACCCCCTTGAGACCTGACCTGCAGAGTTTTCGGCGGGCGGCGGCGGGCGTTTTCGAATGTGAAAACGGCACGGTAGAAAACCGGTTTCCGGCAGGTGTCGACCGTCGACCTGATTTCCTACAGGTGCCATTTCGACAGCCTGTGTGGCGACGCGGAAATGTCAAAAATGCCAAATGGGGTTTTCGACGGCGGTGTGGCGAGGCCCTTGTATCCGATTTCGAGAGTCGGACAACTTGCAGATAGCTGTCAGAAGCCACTCTCCAAGCGCACTCCCCAAAGTTGGGGCATCGCCAGATTCGCCACACCACTCTCGAAATGTGCAAAATGAGAATGAACTTCCCGCTAGAACACCGCCACATTTTCGACTTTTTCACATTTCGAGAGTGCTGTGCAACAGCGGCTACTCGGAAGGTCCTCCGCCGACCCACCGAGTAGTGCATCAAACTGGAGAGTCGGCATGGAGTAGTCTGGGCGGACAAATCTGCTGTTGTCCCACCCCCGTCCAAAAGACGAGGAGAGTGCTTGGCTAGTGGAGCCGAGAACCGTAGCGGAGCCGAGGGATTTTTTTTTTTTTTTCCCCGCATTTTGGAGAGTCCGGCAACTATACAAGGGCTGTTTAAATTTATGGGACAGGGGACAGTAGTGGAGCGAGACCCTATAGGGGTACCTTCATCTGAGGTACCCCTATAGGGTCTCGCTCCAAAATGGCACCCAAAAGGTGGACAGGAGTAGAGGGGCCGCGTGGCGAGGGCCGCCGTTGAGGGGGAAAAAAAAATGGCAGTCTCCGAAGTGGTGTACTGGTGCTTTAATGCTGGCTCCTGAATAGAAAAACTGCTTCTTCAGGAATAGACGGAGGTAGGTAGATAGGTAGGTAAGTCAGTAGAGCGAGGTATATGAATGAAGACTATAGCTTAGCTTTTTTTTTATCTTTTTTTTTGGGAATGCTTAGCTTTCTATAATGTAAAATGTTCATTAAAAAAAAAAAAAAAAAAAAAGACAAGGACAGAAAAGCACAGTCCCATAAAAGCCAAGCAGGCAGGCATTAGCAGGACACAACAGGAAAGCACAGACCGAAAAAGAACATACTGAAGGAACTAGAAGGTACAGCCTGCTCTTATAAGCACCGCTAGCAGCAGCCCGGGTTGTTTTTTTTAAAAAAAAAAAAAAAAAAAAAGGTACACAAAGTGAAAGAGTCACACACACACACACACACACACACACACACTAAGAAAGCCATGGCTGTTCAATAATAATAATAATAATAATAATAATAATAAAAAATCCATGGTGGCGATTTTGTTGGTGGGCGCTATACTTGGTATATTTCTGAAAATGCAGGAGCTAGGTGATGATTTGTTACCTTTGTGACAAGTGGAGGCGGCAGATGCGTCACGACTTTTCCACGTTGCGCTCCCTGATCACAAAACGCCGCGACGACTCGCTTCCTGGAGGCCAGTACAGCATGCGAAGGGGACGAGTTGCTGCTGCTACGGGCCTCACTCGCAATGATTTTCTTGTTTTTCCCTTTCCTTCTTTGTCTTTTTTTCTTTTTTTTTCACTTTTTCTTTTCTTTTCTTTTCCTTTGTTTTTTTTCTCTTTGTTTGGTTCAGTATGCAAAACCTAGCCACGATCTCGTTCGTATCAACAGAATGAACTACTCGTTTTTTTTTTTTACGCGTAGAAAATTGGACACAGCATCTGTTACCCAGAAGCTTCTCCCTTATACCCTATTATAAGTACGGATACGTCGGACAAGATTTATTTATTTATTATTATTATTATTATTATTATTATTATTATTATTATTTACAATAATATTTTTTATTTTCAGGGGACAACAAAAAGAAGCGCAATACAAAGCGAGCAAAGAGCAGCTGCAGTTGGAAGTTTACATTGTTTAGCTTTTCAGTAATCTGACAATGACTCAATAAATTGACAAAATAATAATATAAAAAAAAAATAATCACCTTTTGTTTTCAATATGTTTCTGTCACTTCTGAAATTCTTTTTTTTTTTTTTTTTA